CCACCCTATTGTCTGTGTCCATGGGTTATGCATATATGCATACAAGGTCTTTGGTTGATTACCTGCCACCCACCCACCTTCCCCACTTCCCTCTGAGGTTCCCCACTCTGTTCCATGCTTCCGTGTCTCTGGATCCACTCCGTTCATCTCTTTATTTTGTTACTCAGATTCCACTATGAGTGCAATCATGTGATACTTTCTCTGACTGACTTATTTCACTTAGCATGATACTCTTCAGGTCCCTCCATGTTGCTCAAAGGGTAAGAGATTCTTCTTTTTTACTGCTGCATAGTATTCCATGGTATAAATGTACCACAGCTTTGTTACCCACTCATCTACAGATGGGCACTTGGACTGTTTCCAGATCTTAGCCATTGTAAATTGTGCTGCTATGAACATAGGGGTGCATACATTCTTTCTGATTGGTGCTTCAGTTTTCTTGGGATATATTCCTAGAAGTAGGACCACTGGGTCAAGTGGCAGTTCCATATTTAATTTTTTGAGGAAACTCCATACTGTTTTCTTAAAATTCTTTATTGTTTAAAGTATTACATATGTCTTCTTTTTTCCCATTGACCTCTCCCCAGCCACCCCAACCCCCAGCACATGCCCTCACACCCCTAGTGTCTGTGTCCATTGGTTATGCTTATATGCATGTATACAAGTCCTTTAGTTGATCTCTTACCCCTCACCCCCACCCTCCCTTGACTTCCCTCTGAAGTTTAATGGTCTGTTTGATGCTTCTATGTCTCTGGCTCTATTTTTGTTCATCAGTTTATGTTGTTCATTATATTCCACAAATGAGCGAGATCATGTGATATTTATCTTTCTCCTACTGGCTTATTTCGCTTAGTATAATGCTGTCCAGGTCCATCCATGCTGCTGCAAATGGTAAGAGTTTTTTCTTTTTTACAGCAGCATAGTATTCCATCGTGTAGATGTACCACAGTTTTTCAATCCACTCATCTGCTGATGGGCACTTAGGCTGTTTCCAAATCTTAGCTATGGTGAATTGTGCTGCTATGAACATAGGGGTGCATATATCCTTTCTGATTGGTGTTTCTGGTTTCTTGGGATATATTCCTAGAAGTGGGATCACTGGGTCAAATGGGAGTTCTATTTTTAATTTTTTGAGGACACTCCATACTGTTCTCCACAGTGGCTACACCAGTCTGCATTCCCACCAGCAGTGCAGGAGGGTTCCCTTTTCTCCGCATCCTCGCCAGCACTTGTCATTTGTTGATGGTAGCCATTCTGACAAGTGTGAGATGGTACCTCATTGTCGTTTTGATTTGCTTCTCTCAGATGATTAGTGACTTTGAGTATGTTTTCATATGTCTCTGGGCCTTCTGTATGTCCTCTTTGGAGAAGTGTCTATTAAGGTCCTTTGCCCATTTTTAAATTAGATTGTCTTCCTTTTGTTAAGTTGTATGAGTTCCTTATATATTTTGGGTATTAACCCTTTATCAGATATATCATTGCCAAATATGTTCTCCCATACAGTGGGCTATCTTTTTGTTTTGTTGATGGTTTCTTTAAAAAAAAAAAAAAAGAAAGAAAGAAAGAAAGAAAGAAAGAAAGAAAGAAAGAAAGAAAGTGTGTATGTATGTATATATATATATATATATTTAATTTCAGAGAGGAAGAGAGAGATAGAAACATCAATGATGAAAGAGAATCACCGATCGGCTGCCTACTGCACACCCCTCTACTGGGGATCAAGTCCACAACTCGGGCATGTGCCCTTGACTGGAATCGAACCCGGGACCCTTCAATCCACAGGCTGATGCTCTAGCCACTGAGCCAAACCAGCTAGGGCTGTTGATGGTTTCTTTTGCTATGCAGAAGCTTTTTATTTTGATGTAGTCCCATTTGTTTATTTTCTCCTTAGTTTCTTTTGCCCTAGGACAGTGGTTGGCAAACCATGGCTCGCAAGCCACATGCGGCTCTTTGGCCCCTTCAGTGTGGCTCTTCCACAAAATACTGGCTCTTCCACAAAATACCGACTTCTGCGCATGGGCCACGAAGTTTCAATCGCACTGTACGTGCGCGCCCGCACATGGTATTTTGTGGAAGAGCCACACTCAAGGGGCCAAAGAGCTGCATGTGGCTCGCGAGCTGCAGTTTGCCGACCACGGCCCTAGGAGATGTATCTGTAAACATATTGCTACAAGAGATGTCTGAGATTTTGCTGCCTATGGTTTCTTCTAGGATATTTATGGTTTCATGACTTACATTTAAGTCTTCTATCCATTTTGAGTTTAATCTTGTGTATGGTGTAAGTTGGTGGTCTAGTTTCATTTTTTTGCATGTATCTGTCCAATTTTCCCAACACCATTTATTGAAGAGACTGTCTTGACTCCATTGTATGCTCTTGCCTTCTTTGTCAAATATTAATTGAACGTAATGGCTTGGGTTGATTCCTGGGTTCTCTGTTCTGTTACATTGGTCTATATGCCAGTTCTTGTGCCAGTACTGTTTTGATTACGGTGGCTTTGTAGTATAACTTGAAATCTGGTATTGTGATTCCTCCAACTTTGTTTTTTCTTTTTTCTTTTAAATACATTTTTTTTTTTAATTTAGAGAGGAAGAGAGAGATAGAAACATCAATGAAGAGAGAATCATTGATCAGCTACCTCCTGCATGCCCACTGGGGATCTAGCCCAAGACCCAGTCATATACCCTGACCAGGAAGGGAACCATGACCTCCTGGTTCATAGGTCAATGCTCAACCACTGAGCCACACTGGCCGGGCTCCAGTGCTTTTGTTTTCCTGACAAATGCATCACCAAATCCCTATGATGGTAGAATTGCAGATCGACACGTGGAGGGTCCAACAAGTAGGCCAGTTTCTCTCACATAATCCTTCTGGAATTATGGTTACACAGATAAGGCATCTGCTTGAACACCTTGAAGCTCTTAAGAAACAGGTGCACAAGCCTGGGAGAGCTGCCACAAGTGCAAGAGTTGCTAATCTTGAACTTGCCTGGCCTGAACACTCTTGTGCTGGAACTACTGCACCTGGTAGTCCACTTAAAGGTGCAGCTCCCATCTGGCACGTGCTCAGTCCCTACCTCCCTTCCCTGCTTCATCTGTCCTTAAAACAGGTTCACGTCTAATAGGCAGCATATTTCACTGCCTTCTCTGCTTCCACACGTGTCTCTGGTGTGAGGACGGCGTTCTCCACACTGAAGTCTCTGATCTTTATGCCACCCCAGTTCACATGCGCTTATGCAGCATCCCGTGGTTCTCATCCAGGGTGACTGCCCCCAGGGAACTGGGTGGTGTCGAGACATTTGTGGTCCTCACAAGGGTGGGGGCCAGGGATGCTGCTCACCCTCCCACAGTGCTCAGGACAGCCCCACAGAATGACCCAGCCCTGGTGTCCCCAGTACTGAGGGGGAGACCCTTAGTGTCCCCACAATTGCTGATATGGCCCAATAAGTTCCTTGGGGAAAAGGTGGATAAGCTTTCAAACCCAAGAAAATGTAGAATTACATTCAGAAATGTATAGGAGTCTAAAGTTCATGCTTTAAGAGTTGTATATTTAAGAATCCGTTTGACATCTTAAATATTTGATATTGGAGATAATTGTCTATTAGAATACCAGGTGACCCTGTGTGAAATAACTAAAGTTTATGCAGGAGATCAACTTTTCAAAGGCCGGGCTTTTAATTTATAACTTTAATAAATTACACATTAGCGTTCTCTCCTAAGTGATCCCTTTTACAATTAAAAATCTCAGAAAAGGACATGAAAACCCATGCCTTGAGGGTTTTTTGAACACTTGCATTTGTAGGTGGAAAGAGTCCTGATGGTGCGGGGCAGGTTTCAGGAAGGGTCACTTTTTATGCCCACAGGCGAGGCTCCCGTACCAGAAAGTGGGGCGTGGGTCAAGTCCCGAAGCAGAAGTGAATTTTGTTCTGGGCCCTCCCTGGGCCAGCACCGCCCAGCTGCTCAGTCCTCCCAGCTAACCTCCGCTCTTGACTTTCAGCTCCAAGAAGAGGGATGGTGAGCTCACGGTGGCCCAGGGCCGCGTGAAGGAACTGGAGTCCCTATTCCACCGGAGTGAGGCGGAGCTGGCCGCTGCCCTCAGTGATAAGCACAGCCTCGAGAGTGACGTGGCCGAGCTTCGGGCCCAGCTGGCCAAGGTAGGCCTGGGACAGGCCCCAGTCTGGAGACGAGGCCTCCAGGTGGTGGGCATGTGAGGGTCCTGGGGTGGCCAAGGAACTTCACACAGGGGTGAGTTTGTGTAGCTAAGGACATCCCCAGGCATGAGGAGCCAGGCGAGTGCAACAAAGAGACAGGCAGGGCATGAGGGTAGCAGACAGGCCGTCACCTCAGCTTGTTGTCCTGTGTCTCCCAGGCAGAGGACGGTCATGCAGTGGCCAAGAAGCAGCTGGAGAAGGAGACGCTGATGCGCGTGGACCTGGAGAACCGCTGTCAGAGCCTGCAGGAGGAGCTCGACTTCCGCAAGAGCGTCTTCGAGGAGGTGAGCCTTGTCTCTAGTCAGAGTGCGGTCCACCTTCATTTTCTCCATGTGTCTCTCCAGTTTTCCCAGCACCACTTGTTGAGGAGCCAGTCTGTACCCCATTGTATATCCTTGCCTCCTTTGTAGGTCAATTTAACACAGTGAGGATTTATTTCTGGGTTTTCTGTTCTGGTCCCTTGATATGTGTGTCTGTTTTTATGCCCATACCAAGCCGTTTTGATTATTGTAGCTTTATAGTGTGGTTTGATATCAGGACACATGATACCTCCCATTTTGTTCTTTCTCAAAATTTCTTTGGCTATTTGGTGTCCTTTTTAAAAAGAATAATACGTTTTTATTGATTTTAGAGAGAAATATTGATCGGTTGCCTTCTGCATGCACCTTGATAGGGTATAAAACCCGAAATATGGGTATGTGCCCTGACTGGGAATTGAACTGGTGACCTCTCAGTGCATGGTACGATGCTCAACTAACTGAGCCATGCTGGCCAGGGTTACTTGGCATCTATTCTGGTTTCATGTAAGTTTTAGGATTAGTTCTGATTCTGAGTGTGTGTGTGTGAGTGAGTATGTGTGTTTGTGTGTGTGTATGCCAAGATCATTCTTTTTTTTTTAAATATATTAATTTTTTTACAGAGAGGAAGGGAGAGGGATAGAGAGTTAGAAACATCGATGAGAGAGAAATATCGATCAGCTGCCTCCTGCACACCTCCTACTGGGGATGTGCCTGCAACCAAGGTACATGCCCTTGACCAGAATCGAACCTGGGACCTTTCAATCCGTAGGCCGACGCTCTATCCACTGAGCCAAACCGGTTAGGGCGCCAAGATCATTCTTATCAGAAAAATGTAGGAAACCAAGCCCTTTGAGATAGCCCTCCCTCTGGCCAGTATTACAAAACAAAAAGTCTTATAAGTGGCCTGCAGGTGTCCCACCCACCTCAGTGTCACAGATGAACTCCCTGCGTGGCTGAACCAATCGGATGTGCAGAAAGTAGTTGTTAAATAGACCTCAGTGGTCAAAGTAACCAGGGACTGAATAGCAGTGTTGTTTGTGTTTCTTTATCCAGGTGGTAAAGCCAGGTGGACAAACTAAAAGCAAGTGTGCTGAAAGATGACATTACAACCTGTTTTGAATAATATATTGAGCAGTGCTAATCCATTACTTCTTTTATATTAATCGCTTACCAGATACATGATTTTCCATTTGTTTTTCAGTTCCCATCCCTTTCTCCCGTTTTATTCCTTTAGTAACCATCAGCTTGTTTTTTGCATCTATGGGTCTGTTTCCATTTTATTTTGTTTGTTTGTTTTGTTCTTTAGATTCCACATATAAATGAAATCATACGGTATTTTTCTTTCTTATTTCTCCAACTTATTTCACGTTGCAGCATACCTTGTAGGTCCATCCATGTTGTCGCAAATGGCAAGATTTTATTCTTTTTTATGGCTGAGTAATATTCCATTGTATGTATGTAGCTCGTCTTTATCTAATCAGCTATCAGTGGACACTTAGGTTGCTCCCATATCTTGACTATTGTAAATAATATAGCAAAGAACATAAGGGTGCATCTATCGTTTGGAATTAGTGTTTTGGGTTTTTTTTGGGTAAATAATCAGAAGAGGATTTGCTGGGTCATAAGGTATTTCTGTTTTTAATTTTTGAGGCACCTCCATATTGTTTTCCATAGTGGCTACTCCAATTTATAATCTTACCAACAGTACAACAGAACAAGAGTTCCCTTTTGTCAACACTTGTTTGCTGATTCATTGATGATAGCCGTTCTGATAGGTGTGAGGTGAGATCTCATTGTGATTGGGTTTTAATTTGCATTTCTCTGATGATTACTGAGAAATGACATTGAGCATCTTTTCATATGTCTATTGGCCACTTGTGTGTCACCTTAGGAAAAGGTCCTCTGCTCATTGTTTAATAGGATTGTTTTTAATTGTTGAGCTGTATGTATAAGTAAGTTCTTTATATATGTTGGGTATTAATTAGTCTCTTGTCTGCGGTATTGTTTGCAAATATCTTCTCCCATTTGGTTGGTTGCCTTGTTTTTTTGTTTTGTTTTGTTTTTCGTTGTTAATCCTCTCCCTAGGACAGGGAGGGGCAACCTTTTTGTGAGTGTGTGCCAAAACCAGCAAAATCTCTGACTCAAAATTCTTCTGCATGCCAACCCTAATTTTTTGAGAACATGTTACGCCTACTTGATATCTCTTAAGGCAGGGGTCCTCAAACTACGGCCCGCGGGCCACCTGCAAATACAAATATTGTATTTGTTCCCGTTTTGTTTTTTTACTTCAAAATAAGATATGTGCAGTATGCATAGGAATTTGTTCATAGTTTTTTTTTAAACTATAGCCCGGCCCTCCAACGGTCTGAGGGACAGTGAACTGGCCCCCTGTTTAAAAAGTTTGAGGACCCCCGCCTTAAGGTGTACGTATGTGAAGAACCTTGAAGAAATAATAAAATTCATTCGAGTGACAAAAACACAGTATATGATGATGAAAAATACATTTATTTTTTAATGTATACATGTACACTGAAAACTTTATGACTCCGCTTAATATTATCAGTGGGACTTTTGCTGCTGCATCACTGATGACAGAGATTTTACATTAGGTTTATATTTCGTGACCTTCAGAGATATGCACAAGCTACTACTTTCATCCGTCAGGCTACTCCTATTACGAGACTTAACAAAATTCATCACTGAGAACAAAGATTCACAAGCGTATGTGGATGAAACCAAAACACTGGTCGGATCTAGGAAGGCAGAGAGAGTTAAGGCAGAGGCATAGAAATTGCTCTTCCCCTCTCTCGTCAATCCGTGTCTATTGTCTTTAAGATAACTTGTTATGGAAAAATTATTTATTTATCTAAGATGCACCTACACTGAATTTATCTGAAAAATAAAGAAGTCGATATTAAGAAAAAAATTGTAAATGGAAGATTATAAGAGAGGGTTTTGCGTGCCAGTAAAAGTTACTGGCGTGCCATGTTTGGCACGCGTGCCAGGGGTTGCCCACCCCTGCCCTAGGATATTTTTCCCATTGATTTTTCAGAGGGAGTGGGAGGGACAGGGAGAGACAGAGAAACATTGATGTGAAAGAGACACATCGATTGGTTGCCTCCTGCAGGTGCCCCAACAGGGACCAGGGATCAAGCCTGCAATCCAGGTACATGCCCTTGACTGAACCAAACCCACAACTCTCCAGTCGGAGGGCCAACGCTCTAACCACTGACCCAAACTGGCTAGGGCTGGCTGCCTTGCATTTTATTGTTTCAGGTCTTACACTTAAGACTTTAATGTAATTTGGGTTAATTTCTGTGTGTGGTGTCAGCAGTCTAGTTTCACTCTATTGCATGTGGCTGTCCAGTTTTCCCAGCACCATTTATTGAAGAAACTTCCCTTTCTTAGACAACATTGTATGTTTTTGGTTCCTTTGTTGAAGATTAGTTGCCCATATGAAAGTGTTTCTGGGCTCTCAATTCTGTCCCATTGGTCTATGTGTCTTTTTCTGCCAATAGGGTACTGTTCTATTGTGGCTTTTTATTTTATTGATTTCAGAGAGGAAGGGAGAGGGAGAGAGAGAAACACCAATGATGAGAGAGAATCATTGATCGGCTGCCTCCTTCATGCCCCCTACTAGTGATCAAGCCCATAATCCCAGCATGTGCTCTGACCAGAAATCTAACCGTGACCTCCTGGTTCATAGGTCAACACTCAACCACTTAGCCAGGCCATATTGTGGCTTTTTGTTGTTGTTTTGTTAATTCTCACCCGCGGATATTTTTCTGTTAATTTTTAGGGAGAATGAAGAGAGGGAAAGACAGAAACATTGATGTGAGAGAAACACATCGATTGGTTGCCTCCTGCATAAGCGCTGACCAGGGCCAGGGCTGGGGAGGAGCCTGCAACCAAGGTATGCGCCCTTGACTAGAATCGAACCCAGGACCCTTTGGTCCACAGGCCGACACTCTATCCCGTGAGCCAAACCAGCTGCAGCAGGGGGGCCCGGCCCTGATCAATCGCTCTGCAGACGAGATGGTGGAGCAGGTGAGGGGCAGTACCAGGCCAAGGCGGTGCCAGGAGGGGCTGCAGGGCTGCGAGGCTGGGGGTATGAGCTGGGGCCCGATCTCCGCAGGCCACCACGAGGGACCCCACCTGCGCACAAATTCATGCACTGGGCCTCTAGTTCTAGTATAATTGAATATGCTGGTTCACCAAATAACAGAGCAGCAAAGCATCTCATAGCCAGGATTTTTTGTAGAAACTTCTCTTGATCGAGACCTTTCTCAGACTGGAAGACAGAGCAGGCTGCCCGAATGTGGTACATATTTCTTCCAGAATTCAAAGAGGCCCATTTAAGTGTCATGCTTATCTTTGTGGTGAATGGTGGAAGGAAAGCAACATTTTTGTCACTTTAGATCAGCGGTTCTTTGGGGGTCGAACAACCCTTTCACAGGGGTTGCCTAAGACCGTGGTCGGCAAACTGCGGCTCACGGGCCACATGCGGCTCTTTGGCCCCTTGAGTGTGGCTCTTTCTAAGCCTTAGGAGTACCCTAATTAAGTTAATAACAATGTACCTACCTATATAGTTTAAGTTTAAAAAATTTGACTCTCAAAAGAAATTTCAATCGTTGTACTGTTGATATTTGGCTCTGTTGACTAATGAGTTTGCCGACCACTGGCCTAACACCATCGGAAAACACATACATAATTACATATTGTTTTTGTGATAAATCACTATGCTTTAATTATGTTCAATTTGTAACAAAATACATCCTGCATATCAGATATTTACATTACGATTCATAACAGTAGCAAAATTACAGTTATGAAGTAGCAACGAAAATAATTTTATGTTTGGGGGTCATCACAACATGAGAAACTGTATTAAAGGGTCGCGGCATTAGGAAGGTTGAGAACCACTGAGCTAGGGCCATATGTGGTTTTTTATATGGTTTGAAGTTGGGGAGTGTGATACCCTTGGTTATTCATGGTACCTGATGGACTGTTTCTCTGCCTACGCATTCTCTGCCCAAGTCTAACAGTGAACTCTTGTTTAGTTTTGCTTTTATCAGTTCAGCAGGTTCATAAGTAGAGGTTTTCTTTTCCTTTCTAGCAGGAGGTTCAACAGTGCCAGTTTGTTTTCCTCTCACCTGCATGAGGGCAGTTCCAGGATCTGGGTGAGGCGGTGTCACCTGGGTCATGGAAAATGCCCCATACACCCCAAGGTGGTGGGCACCCCTCTGTCTTGGGTCAGGTGGTGCTCCGGGCCTGTAGGTTTCCAGTGCTGTCTCCTTGGTTTTTTTTTTTTTTTTAATCCTCACTCAAGGATATTTTTTCCATTGATTTTGAGAGACTAGAAGGGAGGAAAGTGGAGGAGAGGCGGGGGAGAGAGAGAGAGAGAGAGAGAGAGAGAGAGAGAGAGAGAGAGAGAGAGATTGGTTGCCTCTCTGCCCCAACCAGGACCAGGGGTATTGAACCTGCAACTGAGGGACATTCCCTTGACCAGGGATTGAACCACGAGTGACCCTTTGGTCTGTGGGCCGACACTTTAACCACTTAGCAAAACTGGCCAGGGCCAGGGGTGTCTCTTAAGATGGACACTTGCTCTGGCTGGGTTTCTCAATGGTTAGAGTGTCAGCCCACAGACTGAAGGGTCTCGGGTTTGATTCCCAGTCAAGGGCATGGAACCTGGGTTATGGATTTGATCCCCGACCTCAGTTGGGGCACATTCGGGAGTCCACTAATCAATGTGTCTCTCTCACGTCAATGTTTCTCTCTCTCTCTCCCGCCCACCTCCCTCCCTTCTACTGTCTTAAAATCAATGGAAAAAGTATACTTGGGTGAGGATTTTTTTTAAAAAGATGGACACTTGTCATTGGGTTTAGGGCCCACCTGAATAATCCAGGGTGATCTTGCCTTGAGACACAAACTTAATTATATCTACAAAGTCTTTTTTCTTTTTTAAAAAAATATATTTTATTGATTTTTTACAGAGATGAAGGGAGAGAGATAGTTAGAAACATCGATGAGAGAGAAACATCGATTAGCTGCCTCCTGCACCCCTCCTACAACCTGGGCTTGTGCCCTTGACCGGAATCGAACCTGGGACCTTTCAGTCCGCAGGCCGACGCTCTACCCACTGAGCCAAGTCGGTTACGGCAAGTCTTTTTTCTTTTTAAATTAAAGTCACACTCAGGTTCTGGGGATTAGGATATGGCTATACCTTTTTTTTTTTTTTTTTTACAGAGGGGTAGAGAGAATCATCGATTGATCAGTTGCCTCCTGCACATGTCCCAATCGGGGATCGAACCCGCCACCCTTTGGTGTATGGGATGATGCTCCAACCAAGGGAGCCACACTGGCCAGGGTGCAGGTATACCCTTATGGGGCCACCATTCAGTCCACTCCAGGCCTCCCCGTCAAAGGGCAGGGTGGGCCAGCACTCCCCTCTGTTCCGGGGTCTGGTCACCTCTCACCCCCAACTTTGTAATCCCTGTGCCTTGGCTCCTGGCTGGGAGGGATTGAGGCCCCACAGTTAGAGCTCGGGCTCTGTGTCCTCTGGGAGGGGCCCATGTGGGGCCCTCCCACATCATCATCACAGGGCCCATTGTGCTGCCATGGCCCAGATGGAACCCTGCGGCCGGGCAGTGGGCAGTTCCTGGGCCGGGAAGAGCTGCTGGCAGGAGGGCACACATGCAGCTGCGAAGTGGTCTGTGGCTCCAGCCAGGCCCCATGACAGCCAGGGCCTCCAGGGGAGGCAGGGAGAAGGCCAGGAGAGCTGCTGAGGAGGCACCCATGAAGGTACCCAAGTCTCCCAGGGACCAATGAAGAGGCCCGTGTGGGGTGATGGGACACTGTGGAAGGGGTCCTTGAGGTGGGCTGTGATGAGCTCCTGGGGGGGACCACGAAGCAGACTGTGAAGGGAGCCATAGAGGTGCAGTGAGGGATGCGCAGGGAACTGCAAGCGGGACCTGGCGAGTAGCTGTGGGACGTGTGGTGAAGGTGGGTGTGCTGTCATGGGTTCCACAAGAGTCATTAGTTCTGTGAACGTGATTGGCTTCCTGGGGTGATACTCCTGTTGTACTTACAAACGGATGACACAGTGACAGCGACTGGTTTCTGAGCTGGCACGGGTGGGAGAGGATCCTCGTCCTCTGGAGCCCCCTAGCCTGCCCCCCACCTGCACTTGGCCCCACCGTGAGCCGGGGGCAGCTGCATCGGTGCACTTGTGGTTGGACTTCGCCTGCTGGTTTACTAGCTGTCACTGTCACACCCCCTAGTGTCCTGATGGCCAGATGTCTCGGGCCCTGGGCACCTGGGACAGACCTGGTCAGAAGTATTTTTTATTAACAACTTCATTGAAATATTCCCATGTCATAAAGCTTTTAGAGTGGTTTTTAGTATATTCAACACGGTTGAGCAACCATCACCTCTAATTCTAGAACATTTCATCACCCCAAAAAGAAGCCTGGCACCCATTAGCAGTTTCCCCCAAACCCCCTACTTCCTGTCTGAGGATGAGCCTGTTCTGGACAGTTCACATACATGGACTCACACACGGTGTGGCCTTCTGTCTGGCTCCTCTCACTGGGCACCATGTGTTCAGGGACCATCCATGTTGTAGTGAGTGTCAGTGCTTCGCTCCTTTTCGTGGCTGAGGAATACTCCCCTGTGTGGATGAACCACGTTGTGTTTGCCCATTCATCATTTGAAGGACGTTTGGGCTGTGTGCTCTCCGGTGATTTTTGAGCCCTCGCTTACACCCGACACTTGGGTGGAAGACACTAGTGAGCAGGATGGGTTGGTGGCAGGGCTGGGGTGTTAATCCCGGCCCACCAGCCTGCTGCCTGCCTCAGTGGGTCAGCGTGCTCTGTCCCCAGGAGGTGCGGGAGACACGCCGGCAGCATGAGCGGCACCTAGTGGAGGTGGACAGCGGCCGGCAGCAGGAGTACGACTTCAAGATGGCACAGGCACTGGAGGAGCTGCGAAGCCAGCACGACGAGCAAGTGCGGCTCTACAAGCTGGAGCTGGAGCAGGCCTACCAGGCCAAGGTGCTGGTGGGAGGGGGCAGGAGATGGCGGGTGGGATGGGATGGATGGGATGGGACAGGGAGGGGGAAGAGCACAGGTGGGAAAGTACAGGTCCTCTTGCCCCACACCCAGTGCCTCATCTTCCTGCTCCTGTCTCCTCAGCTGGACAATGCCAAGCTGTGCTCTGACCAGAATGATAAGGCCGCCAGCGCTGCCCGTGAGGAGCTGAAGGAGGCACGCATGCGAGTTGAGTCCCTCAGCTACCAGCTCTCCAGCCTCCAGAAGCAGGTGATTCGCGGGAGTCCCTGCCTGCCCCTGCCCCACAACCCAGCAGTCCTTCCTCCCGCCTGGGGCAGTAGATGCAACCTTGAAGGTCAGGCGCCCGGCCTTCCCTGTCCCATCCCCGAGTGAGGCTCCCAGCTGCTGCCCAGTCCTTGGTATCACTGAGGCCAGGCTCTTCCACCTTGAGCCAGCTAAACACGGGTTTTATATTACGCTCTCTTTTACTTCAACCAGTTATGTGAATCGATTCACCATCCATTAGTCAAGAATGTTCTCATTAAACCCAATGTACTATTACTTGGAATCTACCTTTAAAAATTTATCAAATATTCAAAATAGACACAGGAATGTAAAGTACAGAATAGGGCCCTAGCCAGTTTGGCTCAGTGGATAAAGCCTCATCGGCCTGTGACTGAAGCGTCCCAGGTTCAATTCCGGTCAAGGGCACGTATCCCCGACCCCAGTCAGGTTGCATGTAGGAGGCAACCAATCAATGTGTCTCTCTCACATAGATGTTTCTCCTTCTGTCTCTCCCCCTCCCTTCTACTCTCTCTCTCTCTCTCAAAAAAAGGAAAAATATCCTCACATGAGGATTAACCAAAAATAAAAAAT